GGGCCCTGCACCCCCACCCCGCCAGCCTCCCTGCGCCGGCCGCGGCACACGGTGTGGTCAGGTGTGGTCAGGACTGGTGGACGCACGGCACCACGTCCGTCCCGCACAGCGCCAGTCACCCCGAGCAGCCCAGCGGGCCGTGCGGGGTCCCGGGGGCTCCAGCCTTCCTCTCAGCCTGAGGGTCAGGGCGAGGGCCCCGGACAGGCCCCCGGGACGGCCCGCACGCCCTTGTGGGGTGTCCCGCACCCGGCGCCCTTCATCGCGCCCTTGGCGAATGGGCGATGGGCTTGTTTGGCTTCGGTTTTCTCATCTACAAACTGGAGATATCACAGGGCCCCGCCTTTCAGCACGGCGTGTGGCGCAATCCATCGCCCCTCCATCGCCCCTCCATCGCCAGTGGCCATCTGACATACTTTGGAGGACGATGCTAGGGGTACGTGGACACCCCTCAGCGCCCAGCTCCCGGGGTCCAGCTGGCTGTTTTCAGTGCTGTCCTCATATTTCTTGTGCTGAAGCCACAGTGCTCCCGTCCTGTTTCTGGAGTGAGTTTTATGTGGGCAAGGCCGGTGGCTGGTCCCGACGTGGCCGCCGTCCGAGTGCGGGAGTCTGGCGCGTGTCCGTGGAGGGGCCCGGGCTAGCCGGTGCCTCTGGCCGCACGGCCGGCCGGTCCTGCTTTGACTCACGGCCCGTCTGAATCACGCACCGCATGACCAGTCTCCCGAGGCAGGCTGGGCGTCAACTCTCAGAAACGGAGGCCTGGCGAGGACAATTTAACGTTTGTTTGGATTTTTGCAGACGCTCTGCGGGCTCAAGAATCTGCGAAGACTTTTTAGAACTTTGCTGAGTGTAAAAAGAAAGCAACTTTTATAGCGCTGCAAAATAGGACTCTTTGCTCCTAAGCAACATTCTGCAGCTCCTCCTGCAGCTTCCATAAAACATGGAGTTAGCTGCTGTCTGCACTCCGCATAGGTTCAATCCTTGGGGACGTAATTTATGTGCAGAAAATTATATACTTTTACTTTGTATATTTATAGCACGGTAATTTGTGTGCAGAAAATAATGTGCTTTTACTTTGTGTATTTCTACCGCTGGAGTTCAAAACATTTTACAAGTCGAGCGCAGAGGTCTTGAATGTCATGCTGTCTTATCAGAGCTCAGCACCTGACCGCTGCCCCCTTCAAGGAAAATCTGTGGAAAATCAGTGCCTGGGTGAGGATTTGTGTGTGCCATGCGGACCGCACGTTTGCAGGCCTCCTGCCTCCTTCCTAACGGGATCTACACCTCAGGCCACCGCGTGTGGGGACCAGCAGGCGCCCGCGGGGGTGGGGGGTGGGGGTGGGGCGGCAGCCCCAGGGTGCTGGGCCCCGCGGCGCCCGGCGGGGCTGGAGGCTGCCTGCGTCAGTTGGGACCCCTGGGCAAGGCTTTGCCATCACGTCTGGGGGGACCGGGAGGGGTCCCCCGCGCTGTGGTTCTGTGCTGCCTCTGCGCTTCCTGAATTTGCGGTGAGGGGAAGCATGGCGGCGACGCCCTGTAATTATCACTTAAGAAAAGCCTGGCTCGTGGGGCTCAGGGAGAACCGTGAGCCAGGTCCGCCCCGCGCAGCCCCCGGCAGGAGCCACACGCTCGGTGCTCGAGGCCGTCACCGGGCGCCGGACCTGGACTCGCGGCCCGTGGGCACCGGAGCCAGCGAAGGCCCGGAGGGAGCCGCCGAGGAGTGTCTGCCGGCCCTGCCACCGCCTCTCCGCTCCGCCCCCAAGGGCGGGGGTGCCGGTCCCTCTCACCCTGCACCCTGTCATGGTCAGTACTGGGCCAGCAGGCTGACCGTGTAGCTTGGGGCGTAGGCTTAGGAGCTGCAGCTTGTGGCCAGGGAAATGGGCAGGCTCAGCACAGTGTGGACGGGACGGAGCGGGAGACGCCGGCGTGGCCACATGTGCCCAAGCGGCCGAGGGGGTGGCGAACGGGCCGCAGACAGGCGGAGGCACAGTGGGCACATGGCCGGGTGACCCCAGTCCTCGGAGCTCTGGCACTCGGCGCCGCGCTCCGGTTCTGAGCCCTGCGCCCTGCGCCCTGGGCGGCTGCTACCGGCCCTTTGAGACTCCTGCGCCCTCTGGCCCTTCCCCTGAGCTGGTGAACGAGATCCCGCAGCCGGGGCGGAAGGAGGTGGCGCCCAAGGGGCCGCAGGGCCCTGCTGGGTCTGTGGGCGGGCGGCGCGGGGAGGGCCCGCAGCAGCCCAGCCCCCTGGGCGGCTGCTACCGGCCCTTTGAGACTCCTGC